GCAACCTATAAGGCGAACAAGGCGGTCGCCTAGGGCGCCATCCCTGGGGAGAGGGAGGCGCAAAAGGTTTAATCGCTATTACCAAAAAGTACCTAATAATTAATAACTTTTATAAAGGAGTAGCGATCTATTTCGGCACCCAGAACATTATATCAATTTTACAACCCCACCCCAAAATTAGGTAACTCTATATAGGCCTACATTAATATAGCCAATGGTGAAAATGCAACCCCCACCTCCCTAATTTAGAAAGGTCGGGGCGCTTTTTACCAATCACTTTGTCTTTTAAATTTGGTGCTACATAATTGATGTAGAAAACGATTAAATAAGTTCGTTATTTAAATTTTGAACATTTCAAACGGTTATCCCAACATAGCTGTTGGGCTGGGCCTAGTGCTGTCCGTATACGTCTTTTTATCTTGTTAGTAGGTGGTTTTCTTTTAACAGTATAACATTTATCAAGAGTTTTGAAACTGAAATAATATAACTATTACGAGCCGACCCGCGGTGTATCATGCGCCGCTATTTAGTTTTTTTTTCTACTTTTCAGTAATTTATAATTTGTGAATTCGACAGTACCAATGCTGCCACTGAAAATATTTGCTTTAAAACACTAAAACCCCCCTTCCCCTCCCCCCCTTGAAAGCAGCCTCCTCTTAGTTACCTCCTCTAAGTTTAAAATCGTATCAAACTAAATTATCTGCCCCTAATAGCCGTCACCAAACCCGGCTCTACGATTGTAAAATGTAAACATCTTGCGTGAACCACAGCTCACCAGACCATGTGAGGTGGAGGGTGGGTTGGGGGTGGGGGATGGTAGCGATAGAGAGGAAGAGGGGGGACTGCTGGGCGCGCTTGCAGCTTGTTTTCTAACGTCTCCCAGAAGAGAATTATATATATATATATATATATATATATATATATATATATATATATATATATATATATATATATATATATATATATTGATTATTTGTGCATTAAACTGGGGAGCCGTCGCATTTTGACATCAAAATAGCGGCATACGGCTCGCATGTTGCTCACATGTCTAGTGCAGGGGTCGGCAACCTGCGGCTCGCGAGCCGCATGCGGCTCTTTTGATGTAAAGGTGCGGCTCTCGAGTTCCATGCACAATTATTATGATTAATAACTGTATTATTTCATTTTCAAAACTCATTAAAATATCATACTGTAAAAAAACCCTTTAAATATGATTAGAAACTCATCAGAGAACAGTTAGAATAGGTGAGGTAGAAAGTAAATGGAAAGCTGACAGCCGCTTTCGCACCAGGCCCAGCACCACAGCCGTGGTGTTGCCAGCCCAGTGTCGACTATTCCATTCTTGCCACTGCTGAAGTGCCGACTTTTTCGAATATCGTTAAATGGGGGATGTTATTTTATTCAGAATAGAGGTATTTTAGTTATTAGTATCCTACGGTGGAGCCAGGTACTTGACTGTGGGGAACGAGTAGGGTGGAAGATAAGCACTGTTAGAACCGAAGGACAGAAGCGACCGATTCAGTTATCAACCTAAATCTAAGCCAGTTGGTCAGAGTTGAGGGCTGCTTGGCTATGGGAGACACCTCCTGAGCCAGTGGTGTCCGCAAAGAAAGAGAAAAACGAGTTCTTCTAAAGTGGATTGGGATTGTCCTATAGTTATATTATTTGATAACTAACTGAATCATAGCAGAGCTAGCTAAAACACTTATTTGTGCGAAACATATTTTTCTATAAATCAATATTAGTTCATATTTAACGGTATTTATTTCAAATAAACAATTAAATTTATTTACTTAATTCTAATAAAAAACCAGAATATTGGAAAAATAATGTTAGTGGCTCTTTAAAAACTGGAAAATTTTGAAAATTGTAACTTTTGGCTCTTTCGTCTCGAAAGGTTGCCGACCCCTGGTCTAGTGGAATCTGATTGGTAATAGAGAAATCAGAACGCAGGTGATGAAAATTCGTAGTTCTGAAGTTATGGAATATTAATTCTTGTGGTATTAAGGTGTCGAATTATATATAGATTGTTAAAGTGTAGTAGTAGGTCCAGTGAAATCGTTGATGATTGGGAGTACCGTTTGTAGAGCTTGCTGAAGTTAACGAGTTGGTGTCGTAGTTCTGGAGCATCGAGTCTAGTTATGTTTAGGTATCGAAGTTTGATATGTGTTGTGAATGTAGTAGAGTATAATAATATCGAGTAGGCGAGTTTATCATAAGTTAAATAATTTCAATTTAGTATGGAAAACACTACAAAGAAGGTAGGCGTTCTCTAGTTGAAAATTTTTATTTTTTTAGGAATCTATATCACCACTCTTAAAGTAATATTATATAATATTAAATAGAATGGAATTTATAACCAAGCGTTATTTTTTTCAAATTATAATGTTTTTATATTTAATAAATATTTCTAGCAATGTCTAAAACAGTTACCCGTGTTTGATTTATTTTTTAAAGGCGTCCGTTTATTTATTGATTTATTTTTTTCAGTATAGCAAGATTTTATCTTCAAGGTGCACAATTTACACATTTGTGATAGCTGAATACAACAATATTTTAAACATTTCATGTTTATCTTTGAATAAATATTTATTGAAATAATGTAAAGTAAACCAGTTAACCCAGTTAAAAAAAAATTCTCTATGTCCTTTCTGTCCTTTCCTTTTAAATTTTAAAAAAACTGATAACTAGGTTCTACACGAAAGTAAATATCAAATAAACCACAAAAGCATCCAATCCCAGGAATATTATTCAAAGTATTTGATAAAATGATAATTGATAATGTACAGTGTGGGAAGTGACGAGGCATACATGGTTATTGGTAGTAGAGCTCCAAATTCATTCCATCGTGAATTTCATTATCTCCCAGAGTAACGTGGTCTTTGAATATTGTGTACCATTTTTTTAATACTATTTTGTCAGCTCTGGTACCAGTTTGTGTAGATATCAACTTCACTCGCACTTTCTTGCCAAGACGATCATTACAAGTAATTTCTAGCATTTCCTTACTATCTGTCACAGCTTTTCCTTCCAAGTTAATTTATTACCTGTTACGTTTATTTTACACTTGTCGGTTTTCTGTTTTCAATGGCTAGAGACAATTTGCTTTACAATATCCGTTTATTTAGGAGATCCAAAATCTTACACAACGGCGTGAACAGAGAAGTACACTAAAGTGTATGTCATCTCAATTGAACAGAAGTATATTATAATAAAGCTACCACTTTTAGACTTTCAAACAAAACCTACATTCAAGTAGTCAATCGGTGAAATATATTGTTTTCATACGGTTACATAGCTAATATAAAATATTTATTATAATTATTACGTAATGAAATTTAGATTGTTTTATTGTGTTTTAAAAACATGTCTTGGTTATACTTGGTTAATTTAGCTATTCTTGTGAACGTTATTTCCCTTGAATAAAATTTTGGTATTTGGATTTTCAAATTGGAGACAATTCGTTGCTTAAATTTACATTCATTTGCTTGCACCTTAGGTGCGGAGTCGGTAACCTTTTGAGACGGAAGAGCCAAAAGTTAAAATTTTTTAAATTTCCCAGATTTTAAAGAGCCACTAACATTTTTTTTAATTTCAATATTTGATTAGGATTAGGTTAATATATTTGACTTGTTATTTAAAACACGTAGCTTTAAATATGAAATAATATTTATTAATTTAAAATCATACACTTGTTTCGCCAGAATAATGAAAATAGTAATCAAAAACTAAAAATATAGGACTATCCCAATCCACTTTAGAAGCAGTTACCTTTTTATTTAAAGCTTAAAACAAGTACGTTCCGTTTTGGAAATCACCTTGGGAGGACTGCAGAGAGCCCAAATTTACAAGGACTTTTTTCAGTGTTTTTTCCCCAGACTTTTTGTTTCCCGGGAGGGTGGGGAAGTACTTAAAATTTTGTAATAGGGCGTGGGGGGGTGGGGGGTGGTGGAGGGGAGGGTATGTCGTAAATACAAAGTAGACTCGTGGACTAAGCAACAATTTCAATAAAATGTGATTACGCTTGCAAACTGGAATTGAAGGAATTAGTACAAACTTTTGAGACGAAGGATGCAAGTAAAATTTGATTTTGAAGTCTACTTATAACGTGTATGCAATTGATAATAAATTAATATGTCACTTTTAATTGATTGACACATATGTTTTAGTAATTAATTTGTGTTAATAAGTTTTGTCTAGGGCACTAAATAACCTACCACCGGTACTGGACACTGCATTGACCACCTGGCCCGCCCCATCCTAACCGACACATCCCCTGTCATCAAACCTTCCCCGCCCCCGCCCTCAAACCCCATGACCCCAATATTATATTTCCCCCATAACTGCATCTCCCCATGACCTCACCCTTATGTTGAAATACTATATTAAAAACTGATGATGATGTATTACGAAAATAAATAAAGATACGTGTTACTCATACGATTGATACATGTACTACAAACACCCCTTATTTATTACTTATCCTCAAAATTTCTTCTTAAACCGAGATAATAACACGCACTGTCATTTCATACAACTAACCCAGCCCATATCAAACGATGATGGAAAACTCTTGCCTACCTAGCAGCACTGCCCCTCCCCCCATTACACCATTAAAGTAGCTACACCATCATTAATAGGACACGCACCACTGACTAGAGCGGCCCACAGTGACCTTCCCTCCCCCTCCCGCAGTAAAGAAAAAAAACAAAAAAAAAAACCCACACCTTACAACTCGCCGATTTATTCACAATTTATTTAAAATTGTTGATTTTTATTTATCTTGTTATTTATATTTTATTAGTCAAATAAAATATGGTTTATCCGTAACTTACCATTTCGAAACTCAACAAACATTACTAGATAATTTCCGACGTTACACTAAGTTTTTACTAAGTCTCATAACATCATTGTTCTGTAATGTCAATGTAGTTTTGATAAGCGTGCAACTTTAAAAATAAAATTACCGCACCAATAAGCACAACACGGCCGATGTGTTTATTTTTTAAAAAGTTGGTTAAGATCAAAATAATAGAAGAGATTACTTCCTTGCATTAATTGAAAACAAAACTACAATGAGTAAGTAAACCTACATCTTCTATTGTGTGTTGATGTAGGCCTACCTTTCTTTTATAAAAGTTGTTTACTTTTTAAACTGGCCTGGTAAAATCATCACCAATACACGAATTTAGATCTACATCTATACCTAGTCTAGAATCTATGTAATCTAGATCTAGAAATAGATCTAGACCTAGTCTAGAATCTATGTAATCTAGATCTAGAAATAGACCTAGTCTAGAATCTATGTAATCTAGATCTAGAAATAGACCTAGTCTAGAATCTATGTAATCTAGATCTAGAAATAGACCTAGTCTAGAATCTATGTAATCTAGATCTAGAAATAGACCTAGTCTAGAATCTATGTAATCTAGATCTAGAAATAGACCTAGTCTAGAATCTATGTAATCTAGATCTAGAAATAGACCTAGTCTAGAATCTATGTAATCTAGATCTAGAAATAGACCTAGTCTAGAATCCATGTAATCTAGATCTAGATCTATCTTCTAGATCCAGATCTGTTAGCAAAAACTTTAAATCGTCAGATAAAATGGACACCAGTGTATTAATGACTCGGAACCGATCGTTATTGTTGACATGGATTCTAAAATGTATTTTTTTTCAACTATACTTTTAAACGACCGTAAAAAAAGCCTGAATAAAATCATAAGTGCAAAGTTTTAAATTTTAAGAATCATTGCTATAAAAGTTGCCAATGCAGAAAAAATTGAACGTAGTTTTCGCCACTTTCTATTTATTTACACCTAGATCTAGATCTAAATTTTTACCTGAAGTTTTACGTTAGCAAGATAAACTTTGAATCCTTGTTAATTTTCTCAATGTATTTTATGCCGTATTCACTATAACTGGGGTGCTGTGGCCTAGGTAGACTGCTAACCCAAAAGCCTAGAGTTCGAATCCGTGTTTAAGTCAGTAGAATGTCCCTGAGTCCACCCAGCCTTAATGGGTACCTAACTCATGTTAGGGAAAACATAGGTGGCTGGGCACAGTGCTGACCGCACTTTCCCTTCATATATCGAGGGCTCTGAAACAGATGAACTCTACCTCATCTGCCTCATGGGTCTTGGGCACGAACTGGAAAAGACGATGACATGATGATTCACTATAATTAATTATCGTAACATCATTCTAACCGTAAGATTTATGTCTAAATTGTAAATGTTTACATATCGAGGAACTAGCTACTCAAAAGACACTAATATATCGGCTCAGGAGTTGGACTCCCATTAGCCTCGACGTAACGAACTCCAACTAGCTGGCTGATGTGTGGGCTGTGTGCAGCCTCACGGAGACGTGTAAGGGGCAATTACACCATCGGAAAGTATTACACAATCAACAGTGTAAAGTATCACAATACATGGAACGGTAAATCACACACAATTTCAAGTGAGACAAGTCTAAAAGTCCATTCACTGGATATGATTGTTTTCACAGAACTTGGTCAGGATGTGTTAATTATGTGAAGACACGAGAAACAATAGCAATGTTCTACAACTTAAAGTACACACCCAAGGTATGTTCTAGACACCTTTTTTTTGCTGATTTTTAGTTACCGTTCACGTTAGACATTAACACAATTTTCCTGACCCCCCCCCCTCCCCTAAAATTACACTTTTCTCCCCATTCCACTGATTTATATGTTAAGAACCTACATTTCCTTTCCGTATTACCAGGCTGGTTGAAATTGCCAAAAATATTGTGTTGCTTCCCTTTCAAACGAAAATATCCAAATATTATTAACGCACCTGCGAACGGGTTGATAAACCGAAAACTGTTTTAATGATAATATCATACTAAACATTCTAGCCATTGTTAGATTTTCATTAAAATTTGCAACAAATAAAATATATTAAAAATTAATAAGTAAGTACAATAATTCTTCTAGATTTAGAAACTTTTTAAAAGCTCATACGTGTGACGTCACAATGAACTACGCCACTCCCCCCCCCCCCTCCTCCACGATGCCAGAACATCTAATAAGGGACTTACACCTATCCAATATTAAGCTAAACTAGACAACCCAGTTTCCCCTTCGGAAAACGGTCTATCATTCGCATACAAACCAATATCCCATATTACCCATCCCATCCTTTATAGTCTTTCAACCCCATATGAATCCCTGTTCTTTGACCCAAACTCCCGCCCGATCATGCCTCTCCCTACTTCCTTCTCCCCACTCCCCACTCCCCAAACCCCTCTTTACTCTCCCCACTCCCCTCCCCACATGCACCACTCCCCTCTTCATGTGGATGTCATAAACGGATGTCTCTTATTATCTTTGTGTACCTGATTATCTAGTTACATCTTATAGGTCAACCGACCATCAGCTGTCATCTTATATTTTGTGAAAGATCTAAGGGGTGTACCAACACAAAAACTTGTGTCTGTTAGGTCATACATTTCTGTTATATATCATCCAATTTCTCCCTATGCAGACTAATATGTATGCAGTGGCGTAGGCAGGCGGGGGGGGGGGGGGGGTTAGGGGGGGGGGGGTCATAACCCCCCATAGACCCCTCGGTATATATAAAAAGTATAAGGGGGGTGCAAATCGAAAGTTTGAGGGGAGGGGGACGCAAATCGAAATTTTGAGGGGGGGGGGTGCAAATCGAAAGTTTGTCCCCGGGTAAAAATTGGACCCCCCCCCCTTGAGACGATCCTGGCTACGCCACTGGATGTATGTCGGTACTAGAGGTTTGTTTGCGTCTTTTTAAAAAAAGTCACTAAACCAGCAGTTACTCATACAATATAATACTTGATGTTTTTCTTACAGGTGTTGTGTTCTGATGTCCCATATGTTGGTACTAGAGATTTGCGTCCTTTTAAAAAAGTCACTAAACCAGCAGTTACTCATACAATATAATACTTGATGTTTTTCTTACAGGTGTTGTGTTCTGATGTCCCATATGTTGGTACTAGAGATTTGCGTCCTTTTAAAAAAGTCACTAAACCAGCAGTAACTCATACAATATAATACTTGATGTTTTTCTTACAGGTGTTGTGTTCTTATGTCCCATATGTTGGTACTAGAGGTTTGCGTCCTTTTAAAAAAGTCACTAAACCAGCAGTAACTCATACAATATAATACTTGATGTTTCTGATACAGGTGTTGTGTTCTTATGTCCCATATGTTGGTACCAGAGGTTTGTTTGCGTCCTTTGAAAAAAGTCACTAAACCAGCAGTAACTCATACAATATAATACTTGATGTTTTTCTTACAGGTGTTGTGTTCTTATGTCCCATATGTTGGTACTAGAGGTTTGCGTCCTTTGAAAAAAGTCATTAAACCAGCAATAATACAATATAATACTTGATGTTTCTGATACAGGTGTTGGTTTGGCTGATTCTATTGACTTGGGATCTCGGCGTTCAAGGTATCACCAAAGGTGTCTGTACGCTGGAAAAGCAGCCCTTCACCATGGAAGAATACAAAGCTGAGTTTAAGCGTCTCCTAGAAGGTGTGAACCAAACCAACGTCCCTAAACCCGACCCAAACAACAAACTTGAACAAAGTTCCTTGTGTGGTCAGACTCTAGTTGACCAGTCGCAGGCCATTGTTACGGGCGAGGAAGCTTCAGAGAACGCTTGGCCGTGGTACGTCTTTCTCCTGGTAAATGATGCTGGTGAAACTGCGACGTGTGGGGGTTCACTTCTCACGGAGTGGTGGATCCTGACAGCCGGGCACTGTATGATGACATGGAACTCTACTATCCTGGTTTATTTTGGATTAACTAACATAACACAGTTGGACACGACAAAACATATAAAAGTTGAGAAACGTTTTACACAATTTTATTTTAAAGATGGAGTTGCTTACAATGACATCATGCTTCTCAAACTTGAATCTCCTATAGCCTTCTCTGACACCATCAGGTCGGTCTGTTTACCCGAAGAGGACATGAGCAAGTCCAAAACTTGTTTTAGTATTGGATTTGGAGTTACCGATTTTCGGGGAGAACTGCCTAAAAAATTGATGCAAATAAAAACCAACCCCATGGATCACAAACTTTGCAGGTTTATCCTTCGTTATTTTTTTCAGTACAACCATACAGAATATTTGATTTGTGCAGATGAAGAGAAAGGTCAAGGGACATGTTTTGGTGATTCAGGGGGCCCAATGATTTGTATGGCAAATGGAAAATATTATATCGTCGGCGTATCGTCTACCACTTATGATTGTGCGCAGAGTGAGTTTCCTTCTGGCTTGGTTTCAGTGTATGCCTGGATAGAGTGGATTAAAACAACAATCACATCCAATTCGTAATGAGTTACGGTAGAAACATGAAGCCTAATCCTTAAACCTTCTTTGTTTATAATGCAGTGCAATCATTTTCTGTAACTGGAGATTTGTACATTGAGCATTTATATTTTGAGCTCAAGGGAAAACATTTTTAAAAGGACTATTTTATTTTGTTTTCCCTTAGTATAAAATAGTTTTGTTTAAATACTAAGGTAATTTTTTTAAACTTTGTAAGGGTTTCGTGAAAATGTGTATTTTTCACTCATGGGCGGATCCGTCTCTAAAAATTTTGTGGATTAAAATCCTACTTTAATGGAATATAATATTATCTTGTTAAAGTTTCTCAATTTTTGTGATGTATTCTCGGTAAGTTGAAGTTATTGAAATGTGTCGGTAATTTGGTGTAAAACTGTACATAATTTTTCTATAATTTACTGTCGCATGGGTTTGTGATTATTAAATTTTCCTTCAAGAAAACATGGGCAGTAAAATGATCAAATTTAATCAACTGTTTTTTACCGTTCAATATTTAAAAAATCTGTTATCTCTCTAGTTTAATTTTATAATTAATTGTTAAAAAAATATATATTGTTTCTCTATTTGAAGCAATAAAAATGAACATTTTCTTCGTTTTCAATTAAACTGCAGAGAGATAATGAGTTGGAAAATGGTATAATTCTAAACCGTTTTAAACAGTTAACAGTTATCAAAAAATGTACATTTCTTAAAAAACTTTTAATTTTTTAGTTATGAAAAGCGATTTGTAACAATTATATAAGGTATAAAATGTGTGTATGTGTTACTTTATGATGAGATTGCTACTACCAATATCATTGCACACAAAAAATGTCACATATTGAGATATAAAGCGATACATTTTATTTTTCGTCTATTGAATCATGGAATAAGTATAGGTAGCAGAAATATTTAAAAACATGTATAAGCCTTTAGAGTTTAGAGCAATATTTATGATATATTGTTGGTAGTAATATTGATTTTCAAAGTTATATTATAATCACGTTAATTTTCTACATCTTCAAGAGCACTACTTTATAAGTATAGTAAAAAAAAAACATCTGTTTACATTTTTTGCATTAATTTGTATTTTTTTTTTAAATTAGTGATCAGCAATCATTTGCTGATAAACAAATGTGACAATTCTCACTAAAAGTAAATATAAGAACGAACATGGAAACATACAATTAAAAACAGTCACAAAAAGTAATAATAGGAAAACCTTAAAAGTTTAAATATTTAATGTTTTAAAATTCTAAATACATTTTTTAAAATAAATAAATAAAAATCTGTTTATTTAGATTCATACAGAGTTCTTTTTAACTGTGAATTCGCTTCCTGCATCTAGTTAGTGCATATCCATTTTCTGTTCACCCATTTGCATTTGATAGGCCTATATAAAAAGTATTTGAAAAAGATAATATACCTGATGGAGGTATATATTTTGTATGGTTAGAATATATAATGCACACTACCGCTTGTTATTTTTACATATATTCATGAAAAAACAAGTATATTCGTTATATATATATATATATATATATATATATATATATATATATATATATATATATATATATATATATATATATATATATATATATATATATATATATATATATATATACATTTTTTTTTCTTTCGGTGAGGGGGGGGGGGTGACACTATTAGGTGCCGCCCCGGGTGACAACCGACCTCGCTACGCCACTGTTAGCACATTATAAATTCACATGAGTTTTTTGAGAAATAGGAAATAGCGTAAATTACTTCTTCCTGTCAATTTTTTAAGTTCGACTTCCTGTTCCCGGAATTCGCTGAAAAGTTTAATAAGAACTACAAATTTGATATAATACTTATGTATGAAATTTCATCAACCTAGCGGTAAGGATACTTAATTTATAATGTCCACAGACACACATGCATACATACATACATACACACATACACCCATACACACAGACATACGGACACATTTTGCAAAAATGTGTTTTTCCGACTCAGGTAGGTTTTGTAAAAATTCTCGATTTTTAAAATTTAAATTTTTTTTTATTTTTACTTTCTCGTATATACGAAGTATAGAGAAAGTATTGTAATCGTGCACAAAAATCAATTGAAATTTTAACAATTTTTACCGTATTACACCTCAGTCCTTCATCACATCCGAAGTATAGAGGACTTATTTTAATCGGGCAAAAATTATCAATCCAGATTTATCAAAATTAAGAGGTTTTATGCGTAATCCAGTTTGAAAAACTGGGCGTTGCAATTCTGTCCGTATGTCTGTGTGTGTGTGTGTCTGTCTGTCTGTCCGTGTGTAAACACGATAACTTGAGTACCGTTACAGCTAGGTTGATGAAATTTCATATATAAGTATTTCATCAAAATCGTAGATCCGTATCAACTTTTGAGCGATTTCCGATAACCGGAAGTGGTACTTTTCCTACTTTGAATTTTTTAAAAGCCTATAACTTGAGTACTATTTCAGATAGATAAATGAAATTTCACATGTAAGTAAAAGATCTAATTCTCTACCTTCTGTTAAATTTTGAGTAATTTCCGTTGACTGGAAGTAGTAATTTACGCCACTTCCGATTTCTCAAAAAACTAATGTAAATTTTAAAAGTACTAATAATATTGCGCACTATTATGCGCTTTTTTATTTCGCGTTCACTTGGTGTGCAATTAATTTGTCTACGAGATTTTATTCTATTTTTAAAACTTTAAGTATTTAAAATGGATTAAAAATCATGTCTATAGCCCGAGTTCCCATCCCCTGTTATTTTATATAAAAATATTCGAGAAAGTTTAGGGGAGATCACTCCCGGTTTATTTTTTTGCACGATTGCAATATTTTTACTTTCTCGTATATACGTAGTATAGAGAAAGTATTGTAATCGTGCAAAAAAAAAAATCGAGATTTTTACAAATCTCGACGTTTTACACCTCACTGATACGGAAAAACATAATTTTGCAATCTTGTCCGTATGTCTGTGTGTGTGTGTGTCTGTCTTTGTGTGTGTCTGTCCGTGTGTAAACACGATAACTTGAGTACCGTTACAGCTAGGTTGATGAAATTTCATATATAAGTATTTTATCAAAATCGTAGATCCGTATCAACTTTTGAGCGATTTCCGATAACCGGAAGTGGTACTTTTCCTACTTTGAATTTTTCAAAAGCCTATAACTTGAGTACTATTTCAGATAGATAAATGAAATTTCACATGTAAGTAAAAGATCTAATTCTCTATCTTCTGTTAAATTTTGAGTAATTTCCGTTGACCGGAAGTAGTAATTTACGCTACTTCCGATTTCTCAAAAAACTAATGTAAATTTTAAAAGTACTAATAATATTGCGCACTATTATGCGCTTTTTTATTTCGCGTTCACTTGGTGTGCAATTAATTTGTCTACGAGATTTTATTCTATTTTTAAAACTTTAAGTATTTAAAATGGATTAAAAATCATGTCTATAGCCCGAGTTCCCATCCCCTGTTATTTTATATAAAAATATTCGAGAAAGTTTAGGGGAGATCACTCCCGGTTTATTATTTAATGCATTGGTGACTTTAATAATGCCGGAAAAATTATCCTGATCTAGAATCAAATACAGATTTATTACCCCCCCCCCCCCTCCAATAGCACTTACAAACTTGTTTCAATTGTTTTGTAACATCTGTCTCATTTTACCCGGTAATCTAATGTCCGACCACTGAGACGTGCCCTTTACGTATATCTAGTAAAGAGCTACGTATGTTTCCCTGATTTTACTTATTGAAATTTCTATCCTACGTATGTCTTCAAGTAATATTTTAGCATTACTACACTAAAATAGAATGTAAAACGTAGACCTAGTCGATTTATAGGTAATGTTAGTCGAACCAGGATATGCAAATCTACACGTGATACACTATGTTATATTCGTGGAAGTTGGTAATAAAATTACAGACACATCCCAATAGCAACATTCATAATTTTATATTCGGGAATGTTGGTAATAAAATCACAGACATATCCCAATAGCAACATACATAATGTTACAGTCGGGAATGTTGGTAATAAAATTACAGACATACATCAATAGCAACAGTCTTAATCTTATTATTACCCAGCCTATTGTGAGAGGTCTGTCAGCTAAAACAGTAGCTTAGTTATGTAACTACCATAAAACATCAACGTTTCAGAAGTTCAAAACGTGCATTCACATATCGATATGAATTTACAATAGGGACATTTTATATGTAAATTTACTCAGCAACAAATGTCACACTAAAACAGACACAAGCTACACAATACGACCTTGCATTATGACAAGACCAAGACACTTCTAACACATTTGAAGTTGGACGGCTAGCACGAAAGTGACACCAATTCCTCTTAACAAATTTTCATCAACGTGTACCTAACACTTTCATTCCAAAACACTTACGTATATATTCGAAATGTATGTGAAATGCACACTTGTATAACTATAAACATTAGCTTACATGTTGACGCCCAAAGGCTAGAAGATATAATAACCTTTCCAAATGTGAAGTGAATAGCATGCGACAATTTAAATTACTTGTCGCCTATAATATCATATTACTTGCACGACAACTATCTCAAAAATACTCGTGTGTTGTCGTACCACTGTATTTCCATTTTTATTATATGTGTGTATTTATATATATATATATATATATATATATATATATATATATATATATATATATATATATATATATATATATAATCTTGTTTATTAAAATTAAATATTACAAAATTCATAATATTGAAATGTATCAAAAGCAAAGCAATACATTTGTAAGATCTAAAAATCTAATAAATAAAGTTCAAATCCTTTTTCATATTTTCAATATAATAATGTTTTGAAATGTGTTTTGATTGCTATAACAAAACGTCTAATGTTGCATTTGGTAGAGATTGAGAGCTGGCTGTCGTACGGCTTATCAGCCAGATTGTTCTTGACTGACCTGTTGTTATTCTGTACTATTTTTCCTTATCTTATC